ATTTGGGGACTATTTTGACTCCCAGCACGGCCAAAACCTTCTCGAAACTATCATAACACAGTGTCTCAGACATCAGGCAGTGAATTCATAACCATATAGTGTAATAGCTTTCTGTGAGGGAGCTTTTAGAGGTGGACATCTGGTTCCTATCACCACCACAGCTCTGACTCTCTAGAATGGACTATTGCACATCAAACCACTCTGGATGAACTTTACATCTTAACAATTTAATTATACAGGAAATTTGATTCCCTTTTAAAGCAGCCAGATTACCTAAGTCATTTTTGCAGTGTGCATGCCTTGAGTCATGACTACAGAGTAATCAAAAACACAAGGCTAGTTTCTCTGGCGCAGATCCTGGTCTAATTACACAATCGCTCAATCAGGTTTGACCTCCTTTTATCCTTTACTAAGGCTTATTTGTTTCTTTATTCACTTATTTGGAGTAGAGGCCCAGGCATATTGTGTGTGGAGGCACAAAAGGGGGATAATTGTTGGCAGCTACGCTACAAAGACAATGTTATGTTTTGTTTTTGTCTTTTAAAACTATTAACTGAGATTTAGTGAAACTTCAGAGACAAATAACTCCAGTGCTGCAAAAACAAAACTGTAGTAATAAGAATCTATAAGATTCCTAAAGAAATGTCTGTACTATGTATAGTACTGTCTACTGTAGTACTTTAGTGATCTGAAGTACTTATCAGGTCATCTAGCTCCCAGTACTGTACTATAGCCCAATCCCATTTCACCCCTCGGCCCTACCACTTAGCCCTACCCCTCTGTTTTGCGGGTTCACGTCTAGGGGTAGGGTGCCCTGATTCTTGTTGAGATAGAGGGGTGGGGTGAAGTGTTGGGGCTACATGACCCTCCAAATGGAGGTTTTTCAGAGACTCCAAACAGAGAGTTATGAGAAAAAAAGAAAAACAGGCAAGATGGAGAACAAGAGACCAAAGAAACCCACAAATATGAGAATTTTCTCTGTTAAAAATGACAATAACCACTGTTTTATCTTAGTTTAATGTTGTTTCAGTGTATTTTGGTCCTTTTCTTCATAACAAGCATAAAAAATAGCTAGCAGTATGCTGATGCCTCTTTAGCTAGCTAGCTAACTTTCCCGTTCCACCTTAAATAGTCCCGCAGTCCTGACGCCTGAAGCACCAGAATGTAACTGCTGCTCCATTTAAGGTAGAACAGGAAAATTTGAACAAGAATCTGGAGAATATCTGACTTCAGCTTCATATCACTGAAGAATTAGCGGTGGGTGATAATAAATAATTGCCCCCCTCTTTGAAGGCATATGACCCCCTAAATGTAACTAAAGCCCAGCAGTGAGGAGCTGAACTTTACCCTCCTCTGCTGTCACTGCAGACTGGCAGGGTCGCCTACAGAGCAGCGCTGGTAGCTGTTAATGAAGTGATGCTCTTTTTATTTGAGGGTCCCATTTCATAGGGAAGATTTTTACCATTACCCTGTAACTCAGTTCCAAGGGGTTAGGGTGACACTCGAAAACAAGGGGTAGAAAGCAGATCTTTCTCATAATAATTGAGTAAAATTCTTGCTGTCCTTCACATTTTAGTGCTTTGCCTGCACTAATAGCCTGAAGGGACGTGGTGTGTTCGTTTTTTAGGTGAAAGGGACATGGTGTATTTTTTTTAGGTAAAATTACTATCAGGTGACCACCCAAAACTATCAAGTGAGCAACAGATACTATGTACTATGTCAAGAAAAAAAAATATGTATATACATATTATATATATATTATATTATATTATATTATACATATACATATATATATATATATATATATATATATATATATATATATATATATATATATATTTACATATGCACACAGATATAAAGTTGTGTGTGTGTGTGTGTGGTGTGTGTGTGTGTGCATGTGTATATCCATAAACAGTGTCAGTGTTCACTGGCAACAGGTGGCACAAGAACAAATGAAGCGAGTTAAAGAGGATAAGGTAAGTTTATTTGTTCAGGCAGCCATAAAAACCTCAATAATTTACCAAATTGTCCCTTTCAAAGAGATACAGCTAAATGTAGGCTGCTCTTACCAGAGACGTCCCAGCTGCTGAATGAGGCAGTGAAACTGCCTGTGCTCCTTTCACTTTTCCAAAATGGAAAATAACCCACCCGACGGAATCGTTTATTCGTTTTGCGAGGAGATGTTAGTTTTGAACTTAAAGACATTTTGCCACTTGCTCATTTTTGTCACAGGTGTGTATAGTTTTAATATAGTAGTTGTCTGTTAAGTCATGTTACAATGGAGCCCAATGAACACTGACACTGTTTATGGATATACAGATTTTTTCTCACAACATAGTATCTGGTGCTCACTTGTTAATATTGGGTGCTCACCACATAGTATCAGCTGCTCACCTGATAGTATTGGGTGCTCACCTGATAGTATCTGGTGCTCACTACATAGTATCTGGTGCTCACCACATAGTAACGTGCTGCTCACCATATAGTATCTGGTGCTCACTTGATAGTATTGGGTGCTCACCTGATAGTATCTGGTGCTCACCACATAGTATCAAGTGCTCACCTGATCGTATTGGGTGCTCACCTGATAGTATCAGGTGCTCACTTGTTCATTTTGGGTGCTCACCACATAGTATCAGGTGCTCACCTGATCGTATTGGGTGCTCACCTGATAGTATCTGGTGCTCACTTGTTAATATTGGGTTCTCACCACATAGTAACGTGCTGCTCACCATATAGTATCTGGTGCTCACCCGATAGTATCTACAGCGCACCAAAATTTTTGCCTAAAAAAAAACTACACCACATTCCCCCCCCCCAACAAAAAACAAAACACCATGTCCCTTCAGGGGCCCCGTACCAAACCCATATATTTAAACTTGTTTACATCGTAACCACGCTCTGCTCATAGGTGCAGAAGTGCTTTGTTATCGATACAGAAATCTGATTCTCTAAAGGAATGCTGCAGTGTTTCTATCATAAACTTAATCTGCCGCATCTGTAGTGTACAGTCAATCACCACAACAATGCACTTATGCATTTCCCTGTAGGCCCATTGTGTTTTAATGAGGGGGTTTTGAATCAGCTGGTCTTCTGCTGTTTTGTCCATACAGGGAAACACACTGTACGCTACAGAGATCAGTATGAAAAGCACTGGTATCTTCCTTAAAAGGGGAATTGCACGCACTTTCTGTATAATTCAACTGCTGAGATGTAAACAAAGTCAATCGGAGTGATATGAGAAACTTACAGACTCAGATGTCTGTACAGTGGTGGTGATAGGAACCAGAGGTCGCCATGACTACAACACAAACATAGCCATTTTATATACTATCCACAACCACCAGTGAACCTACACGTCTTCTGAGTTTTATATGTAACGTTAATGATGGTAAAATAGTCATAAATCTGAAAAAATGAGTTTTGTTTGGGGGCTATTTTGGCTCCCCGCATGTACTGCTTCACCATGAATTTTAGTTTTAGGCCAAAATCGTCTCAAAACTGTGAACAGCGAACATACAAATGTCTTCTGAGCTTTTATATCGTCTCTGTTGAAATGAAAAAAAATCTCAAAACAATCGCAAAAACAATCAACACCTTCGGTATACACCGATCAGGCATAACATTATGACCACCTCCTTGTTTCTACACTCTTTGTCCATTTTATCAGCTCCACTTACTATATAGGTGCACTTTGTAGTTCTACAGTTACAGACTGTAGTCCATCTGTTTCTCTGATACTTTGTTAGCCCCCTTTTACCCTGTTCTTCAGTGGTCAGGACCCCCATGGACCCTCACAGAGCAGGTACTATTTGGGTGGTGGATCATTCTCAGCACTGCAGTAACACTGACGTGGTGGTGGTGTGTTAGTGTGTGTTGCGCTGGTGCGAGTGGATCAGACACAGCAGTGCTGCTGGAGTTTTTTAAACACCTCAGTGTCACTGCTGGACTGAGAATAGTCCACCAACCGAAAACATCCAGCCAACAGTGTCCTGTGGGGAGCGTCCTGTGACCACTGATGAAGGACTACAGGATGACCAACACAAACTGTGCAGCAGCAGATGAGCTATCGTCTCTGACTTTACATCTACAAGGTGGACCGACAAGGTAGGAGTGTCTAACAGAATGGACAGTGAGTGGACAGAGCGTTTAAAAACTCCAGCAGCACTGCTGTGTCTGATCCACTCAGACCAGCACAACACACACTAACACACCACCACCACGTCAGTGTTACTGCAGTGCTGAGAATGATCCACCACCCAAATAGTACCTGCTCTGTGAGGGTCCATGGGGGTCCTGACCACTGAAGAACAGGGTAAAAGGGGGCTAACAAAGTATCAGAGAAACAGATGGACTACAGTCTGTAACTGTAGAACTACAAAGTGCACCTATATAGTAAGTGGAGCTGATAAAATGGACAGTGAGCGTAGAAACAAGGAGGTGGTCATAATGTTATGCCTGATCGGTGTAAGTTGTTGTAAAGAGACTTTATTTAAAGCAGTTCTGGAGCAAATCTGTTGGTCCAATCACCATGAAATTTTCACACAAAGTAAAGAGACAATCTATATATGTAATGTGACAGTAAAATGGTGGCAAGTCTTAAAAAAAAACTTTAAAGGGGGGCTACTTTGCCTTACATCACCCAGCATGTACCTCTCCACCATGAGTAGATAAAAAAAGTACATTTTAGGCCAAAACCGTCTCGAAAAAGGGCAGAAAACAAATGCACCGTTTGAGGTAATAGCTGTCTGGGAGGGAGCTGTCAAACTCCTCAGACGTCTGGTTACAGGACTACCATAATATTTACACACTGTGAACAATGTGCAGAGGTTTGGGTTTCAAGACGCTTTTTAAACGGAGAACTGTGTTTAGTCTGAGTTGAAGACAGAAGAGAGCAATGAGCAGAAACTGAAGTTCCTTCAAAGAACTCAAAGCTCCTCCTCCTCCTTCTCCTCCTCCTCCTCCTCCTCCCTCCCACTGATCATGTTGCTCTCGTTGCTCCGCATACTCCACACTCCACCTGAGAGAGGCGAACACACAGAGCCTTACCGCTCAGCATGAAACACAGACCTGAGAGACGACCTGGACCTCAATCATGAATAATTCAGCACCTTTTCACGCAAGAAGCTGTGGCTGAACGCGGCACTGCGCATGTGTGGACCATGATGAGGACTATCATGGTGATGAAGATGGCTTCAGACGTTTTAGTGGCAGCTCTCCCTCTCTGTCTGCTTTTGCATGCAGCTTCAGGTAAGCATGAAACAGAGCCACTAGGCTGGGTTTTAATCATACGTTACATGGTTATATGTGGTTTTAGTGACGCATTATAATCTGGGTCAGATTACAGAAGCTAGTGCAGCTCCTCAACTATTCGTATTAATGCTCCTGTTACTTTTCAAATAAATAAATAAATCAATAAATAAATAAAATAGAAAGGAAAAGTTGAAGGAACTTTGTGTTGGCTTGAAAATTATGTGGGAAGGTTCAATTTCATAAACTGATGTAGCTTGACAGCTTGTGTTGAAGCTGTAGTACCTTAAATACACTGCTACCTTAAATCAAGTGCTACCTTAAATCTACTAACACATTATATCCACTATTAATTTAAATAAATACCCTCATTCTCTAAGTCTCTGCTGAGAGAAAATATTAAATTATGTAACTGCAAAGCAGAGAGGCGCTGTTACCCCTTTAACATTTGGATTTTGCCATCTTTCTGGCTTAGTGGTGAGTTTAAGAATTAAATTATATTGACAACAATGTTGTTCGAATTCACTGCTCCTCTGAAAACCCACCGATATATTGAATACACTATTACCTTAAAATCACTGCTCCCCTAAAAACCAACTGATATATTAAATACACTGTTACCTTCGATTCACTGCTCCCCTAAAAATACACTGATATATTAAATGTGCTGTCACCTTAAATTCACTGCCACTTTACATCCGCTGCCACTTTACATCCGCTGATACCTTAAATCTACCGATACCCAAAATTCACTGCTACCTGAAATCAAATTAGCGCCTGATTTCATTTACTGAAGGACTGATTAGATAAAGCAGGTACTGGACAGTAACTGTAAATACTGGACTTCCTCCAGGAGGTATTTGGGAACTCACAGACACAACAATCCCAATGGATTGTTTATTTGTTTTTATTGTAATGCTTTATTTTGTGAATAATAATTGACAAATAAATATCTTCATATATAATTTTCTCAGATGCCTAAGACGTCTGCACACTGTGCAGTCTGAGTCAAGCAGCCCATGGTTCCCTGTAGTTTTTAGAGAGAGAGAGAGGGAGTGTGCTTGTGTGTGTGTGTGTGTTTGTGTGTGTTTGTGTGTGTGTGTGTGTGTGTGTGTGTGTGTGTGTGTGTGTGTGTGTGTGTGTGTGTGTGTGTTGCTCTTCTCCTGTGAAATGAAAGCACAGGAAACCAGGGTGAGCTCACCTGCAATACAACAGGCAGAGTTGTGTGTGTGTGTGTGTGCATATGTGTGTGTATGTGTGTGGGTGTGTGTGTGTGAAATCTGTGGCAGTCTTGCGCGTGTGTGTGGTTAAGCTCCTGATTTCCGTCTTTCATTGTGAAACTCTGATAACAAAACATGTTCTTAACATTCATATATATATATATATATATAGGTCATTCTACAGAAGCAAAACAATACATTATTTTAACAATTACACTTTATTGAGCACCAATTTAGCAATATTGGTTTTTAAATCAATCATATAGAATTCCAAGCACCACAGAAGAGCTCGTCCTCACAGTCATGTTTGAAGGATGAGGCCATATTTTGAAGTAAAAAACATGTTTTTCTGCAGTTTTAACTGCAATAATCTATACATATATATGAAGTAAATAACATAAAGAAAACAAATGCCAAATAAATATTATAAAATATATAATGAAAGTTGTTGTCCCCAGGAGTCGTGTCACTGGTGTTAAAAAATCTCTTATTTTGAAATTAAAATCACACTGATGACATCACATGACTTTCTTTTACCTGTTTTCTGAGGTACATCTACACATATGCATATATATATATATACATATATATATATATATATATATATATATATATGTGTGTGTGTGTATATGTAAATATATATACAAATGTATAGATAAATAGATAGATAGATAGAGATATATATATAGATAGAGATGCACAACTATCTATGTATAATACTATATCTCATATGTAAGGGTGGGCACTATGACAGTTGTGACAAATTGTGTCACAATATGCTATTCTGAGCATATCGTGGATATTGTTATTACTAAAAACTGCATGTTTTTGCATCATATTTAGCATAATTAGTCCTGTTTCACTGGATTTATTTAGCCATACTAAGTCATTTTTAAACGAGGCAACACATTTTATCTGTTCCAACTTATCAAATCTCAGAAAAGTCTAAATATTCTGAATTGTGATTGTGTATCATGAAGATGTTTTGAAGTGTCCAGATACTGTATGCAATGTATAATATATATGTATGCATCCATGTGCAGCAATAACTTCCTAAACCTAAACTTAATCTTAACCTTGGGAACTAAAAGGTTTTTTTTTCTTCCAGTTTTGAAAAACGAAGCACTGAGTTTTGGTAAACACTGTAAAGTCAGGAGCGTTTTGTTAGTTCTGTAGGTTTGAACTGGTTTTGACTGGATTGTGTTTATTGCTTGTATTGAGTTTCACTGTCTTGCCTTGATTTGTACTGTACTGTAAATGGGTGGGGACACTAAAGGTCCTCTGAGCTCCTGACTCATGGTTATTACTGTGTTACATAATAAAAGTAGGCCTCCTCTTGTCCTCAGCTGAAGGATCCGCGGTCGCTGCTCCGCAGAATGTTCATTTTCACTCTATGAATCTGAGAAACATGCTGCGCTGGGGCCCGGGAGGAGGCACCGTCCACGGCACCACCTACACCGTGGAGTATGCAATGTGAGTCTTCCAAAGACCAAACAGTGACATGATCAGTTTATGAACAATATAAAGATTATAGTTTTAGTGGTATTGGTAGATAACGAGCAGTATATCACTGACGTCGGAAGAATCTTAATTTTTGACATTTTTCAGTTTTTGACATAATTTGAAAGTACATGTTACCCTTTAGTTTGTGTACAAGTTTCATGATGAATTGATGAAAAGAAATGACTCAAACTGACTTGGAAAAAATTCTGGTTCCATTGACTTACATTAAAAGTAAAGTAGGTTTTTTCCTTCTCCTGTAAAGTTACCATTTTGGAGATGCGAGGTTTTGTTCCAACAGCAGCGATATGCATGATCACATTTGATCACAATGGTCTAAAAAAACCTGGAAGAAAATCTTTCAGTACTGTGCAAAAATCCCATCCTGTCAGCATCTGAGAAAAAAAAAGGAAAACATACAATTAACATACAAAGAATTTTAAACAACTAATTATATAATTAAAATATCTGAATTTTCAGTGTTTAGTATCGTATTTAATACCATACTAAATACTCACTTTCAGTTTCTGCAAAGAAATCTGTAACCACACGTCCAAAGTTCAGTCTCAGAAGTGGGTTTTGCATTTTTTGCTTCTCACAATGCAACTAATTCAATTAAAAATTCAGACTCATCTGTCCATAGAACCTAATTATGTATCACAATTAAAATAAAAATGTAATATATAAAATGGCAATGTCAAAAAGTTTGAATTTATTTTCCCGCTCAAACATGCAGGTTTGGGCTGAAAATGAAAATTCAAAATTCAATAATTCTGTTTACACTTGCCCTTTTGGTACACTGCTACTGATCTTTCTGCATTCTGTTGGCCCCGCCCAGATGAAAGGATTGTTAAATTTGATGACTGATGTGGCTTGATGGCTGTAGAGTGTGTTAAAGCTGTAGCACCTTCAATCCACTGTTAACTTAAATACACAAATACCTTAAATCCCCTCCTACCTTAAATCCACTGTTAATTTAAATACACTGCTTCCCTAAAATTCCACTAATATATTAAGTACATTGTTACTTTAAATTCACTGCTACTTTAAAATCGCTGCCACCTAAAATCTACTGCCACTTTACATCCACTGCTACCTTAAGTCCATGAATACCCTAATCTACCGATACCCTAAATCCACTGCTACCTGAAATCCAATGAGCACCTGTAACTGTGAAGCGGAGAGGCGCTGATCTTTCTGGCTTGGTGGAGTTTGATAATTCAGTTTCAAATGCATTGTTACTGAAACTACATTTGAAAATACATTTTAATTTAAATAAAGCTACTCATGAAACATCCAAATCTCTATGTAAATGAAATTTCAATAGTAGTGTACCAAATGGCAAATAGAATTACTGAAGCCCAAACTTGCATGTATGAGCAGGAAAATTCCCATTTTGCATGTTACATTTTCATTTAATTCTGATACTGATAAGCTTCCATACCTGATGGGTATTTTGACTGCAGATGAAATAAACAAAAAAGCTGGGTCTTTGACTTTTGCACAGTACTGTATATTTTTCACTTTCTGTCTATAATGTGTGGGTTTCTGACTCACTGGGTCTGACCTGTGTGCAGATACGGGGACGTTGAGGGGGACGGCGAGCAGGTGGTCTGGAGCCCAGCCGAGCAGTGCCGAAACATCACAGACACCGAATGCGACCTGACAGAGCAGACGTACGATATTAACGAGGATTATTACGCCAGAGTGAGAGCCAACCGGCCACATGCTCACTCACACTGGGTGGAGACCGAGAGCCGCTTCAGACCCCTGTCTGACAGTGAGTCCATCACAGAGAGGAGTTCTCCATATGGGGGTGGTATTAGATAGGTGGATGCATAAAGGAATGGATAGATGGATGGATAAATGGATGGATGGATAAATGAATAGATGGATAGATGGATAGTATACATTGATCTAAATAGTTGGATTGACAGACCTGGATAGATGGATAAATCGTTGTATGGTTAAATGATTGAGTAGTTGTATGAATGAATGAATAGATGGAATAAATAAATAGATGGCTGAATAAATAATGGAGGTGTGGGTGAATGGATGAAGGGATGGTTGAATGAATTAGATGGTTGGATTGATGGATGAATAGTTTTTTGGTTGAATGATTGAATAGATGAATGGAGAGATGGTGGAACAAATGGAGGCATATATGGCTGGATGGAGGATGGATGGATGTACGAGTAGTTGAGTGAGCAGATGGATGGATGGATGGATGAATAAATAAGTATTTGGGTGGACAGATAGAAATACAGTCAAATTAAAGAATGGATAGATAAATGGATGGATGAATTGCTGAGCAACTGGACGAATAAATAAATGAGGGGTTGAATGAACATATAGCTGTATGGATTGATTGCTGGTTGAATGAATAGATGGAGAAACGGTTGGATTAATAAATGGATGGAATAGTGAACAGTGGGTTGGTTGAATGATAAAATACATGTATGGATGAATGAACAAATGAAGGGATAGATGTATGGATGGATATTTGAATGGGTAGATGGATGGATGGATGGATGGATAGATGGATGATTGAATAGATGGTTGAGTAAACGAATGGATGAAGAGATGCTTGGGTATATGGATGAATGGATAGATGGGTTTAGATAGATAGATAGATTTGACCCATCCGTGCAGTGAAACACCACATACACACTAGTGAACACACACACTAGGGGGCAGCGAGCACACTTGCCCCCTAACCTTCAGCCCACGACGGCCCCCATAGCTTGTATAGATAGACGAACGGATAGATGGATGGATGGATAAATAGCCGAGTAAGTAGACGGATGGATGAATTGTTGAGCCGCTGGATAAATCAATAAATGAACAGTTGATTGAATAAATAGATGTATGGATGAAAGGCTGGTGAAATGAATAGATGGAGAGATGGTTGGACTGAAGAATTAATGGGTAGATGGATGAACAGTGGGTCGGTTGAATGATTGAATGGACATAAATGGACGAATGTTTGAACAAATGAAGGGATCGATGTATGGATAAATATTTGAATCAGTAGGTGGCTGGACGGTTGAACAGGTGGCTAAACAGACAGATGAGTAGGTGTTTATGTAGATGGGAGAATGGATTAATGGATGGATGAAAACAGTGAATGAGAGATGAGATGAGTTTCTCTAAAAGCCCAGTAATTAGCGCTCTCTGATAGACATTCTCAGCACCGTGAAGATTTGTGGGACGTTGAAACAGCTGATTTATGTATTAGTTCTGTTCTTAGTGGACATATGATACGTCAGTGAGGTCAGTGAGGTCAGCGAGGCTTTCGTAGCCACTTAAGCAGCAGTTTAAATGAAAAATCTCAGCTCCTAAATTTCATTTGGCTATAAATCGGTGTGAAAAAGAAAGCAGGACAATCGTAATTTGTCATTTTGTTAAACATTCATATTTGCACAGATTTGCTTTTTTGGCTGTTTCCTTGTTTGCTAGGCGCTTATATGACTTTTCATCACTTACAGTAATTGTAGATCTTTTCGTAAGCTTAATGATGCGAACCGACTGCAATAACAGCACTAATAAAACCCAGTCACTATCTCTGGACTTTCATCCTCAGGAGGAGATTTACAGCAGCTAATCTGAAGTTTATAATCAATAAATTAACCACCGCAGAGTAACCAAAGCATGTTTGAACCATGTAGAATAATCAGAGTTGTTTTGTTTTTTCCTTCTTTTCTAAGCTAAATGATACTACAACACCGTCAAAAGTTTACCTAAAGACCTGATCTAAAGACTTCCAAGATAAATGCTGATACTTACACAGTATAAACCCACTTCATTTAAAAAAGACCACCCTAAATTCCCAGTCGAAATTGAGTTACGGAATAACTGAAGTTTGGGAGGAGGAACATGCCTGAAACCACTCGTCCCTCCAATCTAACGCCCTCAAATTCTTATTCTCACCTTCTGTTGCCCATGAAGTTCTCACAATCCCCACTGCCACACCATCTCCTCCCTGTTCCCCAGTCCTATGACAGTCCTACCATGTTTGCAAGGGGGGCTCCAGCCTTCTTGCAACAGGAAGAAGCCACCCAGAGCTCCCCACCCTTAATTAGTCTTCCCTCACACTACCTCCACCATGTTGAAGGCAAGGTCCGAACTAGCAAAATGACCATTATGTACAACTTATTTTTCATCATTAGGAAAAAGTGCAGGAAACTAAATTATTAAATTAAAAATATATCATTTCAGTTTTTCAGTATTTGTCGTGTCCACTGTTTGCCATTATCACTGCTTTTATTCTTCTCAGGAGACCCTTCAGTTTCTCAAAGAAATCTGCAGAAAACATTTAGTGTTTTCTGAAGTAAATGATGTTGAGTACTGTGTGTTAGTATGTATGAATTTATCTCCAAAACCCTCAAAATTAAAATTATATTTCCCGGCCAGGAAGTTTAGAGAGATGAATTCCTCTTTATCTCCTTCTTATTTCACCATTAATTCCTTGTTAATGCATTTGAGCAGGTGTGTTGTTGGTAGGCGAGGTCTGAATAGTACTGTTTGGCAGAAGCCCAGTATTTCTGATTAGAGTGCTGTTACAGAGTATTGATGACTTTCTTATGACTGGGCGTCCAGACGTTGGCTGGTGCTGTACGTTGATGAGCATTTTCCGATTTTTACAAGAACCATGTACAATGGGTTCTCCATCATGAAGAAGAGCCATTTAACCAGCGGTGCCCAATCCTGGTCCTGGGGATTTAGCACCCTGCAGAGTTTAGCTCCACCGCTAATCCACCTGGCTATGCATATACGCTTCTGAAGGCTTTCACGGACCAGTTGTGTTGGATCTGAACTCTCCAGGGTGGTAGATCTCCAGGACCACCTCTGCATTTAATGATTCAATGTCTTTACTAAAGAACCTTTGAAGAACCCACTTTGTTAAACGAGCGTACTTCTGTTCCACTGTCTCCAACAGCGATCTTCGGGCCTCCAAACGTGAAGGTGACTCTGGTGGACAACTACATGCACGTAAAGCTGAAGGGTCCGTTCAGGTGGAAGAGCAGCAGGATGAAGAGAGGGTACTCTGTCTGGAAGATCTTCCCCCACATGGTCTACAATATCTCCGTTTACAACAACAGGAGCAAACACATGGTGGGTGTTCACTCCGTTTTCAGGGAAACGATGAAACATGATCCATGATATCTGCCTCTGTCGTGCTTTCTCACAAAGACAGCCAGCACTTATCATCTCTCTCTGAGTACAGCAGCTGATCTAGAACCAGTTTTTGTGACACTTTCTAGGTTGAAACATGGGAAGAACCTAATCCCGGGTTTGAGGTCATGTGAAAACAAATCTGAGCACAGCCACAATAAAGATGGTATTCAGTGTCGGGGGAGAGTTCAGGTGCTTTAGAGCGTGACTGACAATAAAAATAACAATATTATGTTATTATGTGCTATTATTATATGTTATTATATTGAAAGTGTAGTCTTTACAAAGGCTTAATAAACGTGCTATTCAAGTTTGTAGTTCCGCACTTAACTGTAATCAGTTTATTACATGTAAATGTCTGAAAGTGCTCCACATCTTACATTTCTAGTCTGTGTATATATACATATAGAGATAAAACATACTGTTTGGGTGGTGGATTATTCTCAGCACTGCACTAACACTGACGTAGTGGTGGTGTGTGTTGTGCTGGTGCGAGTGGATCAGACACAGCAGTGCTGCTGGAGTTTTTTAAACACCTCAGTGTCACTGCTGGACTGAGAATAGTCCACCAACCAAAAATATCCAGCCAACAGCGTCCTGTGGGCAGCGTCCTGTGACCACTGATGAAGGACTAGAGGATGACCGACACAAACTGTGCAGCAGCAGATGAGCTATCGTCTCTGACTTTACATCTACAAGGTGGACCGACAAGGTAGGAGTGTCTAATAGAGTGGACAGTGAGTGGACACAGCGTTTAAAAACTCCAGCAGCACTGCTGTGTCTGATCCACTCGTACCAGCACAACACACACGAACACACCACCACCACGTCATTGTTACTGCAGTGCTGAGAATGATCCACCACCCAAATAGTACCTGCTCTGTGAGGGTCCATGAGGGTCCTGACCACTGAAGAACAGGGTAAAAGGGGGCTAACAAAGTATCAGAGAAACAGATGGACTACAGTCTGTAACTGTAGAACTACAAAGTGCACCTATATAGTAAGTGGAGCTGATAAAATGGACAATGAGTGTAGAAACAAGGAGGTGGTCATAATGTTATGCCTGATCGGTGTATATATGTATGTATATATATATATTTTAAGTTCAGTAACCTTATCCAGTCTCTTACTGTTACACTCACACCTTCTTCTTTCTATTTGGATGTTTTACCAGCACCACTTCCTCCTGCAAAACGACTCGCTGAGACTGGGGCCTCTGGAGTATGAATCAGTGCAGTGTGTGAAGGCCGAGTCGCTCTCGCTTTCTCTCCCTCTGACCAGCATCCCATCTGACTGGAGCTGCATCATGCTTCCGCCAGGTAATGTGAGAAAAACAGCCTGGGCACTTTCACAGCCACTGAAGCTCGGTCCTCTTTCGGGTCTCTGAGCTCTAGCTTTATACCCCAAGGTTTAGGCAGCAGATTGCTATGCTGACTGACCTGCTGCTTCATATCTCTGCTCTCTCTTTACTGTGCTTTAATCTGTGCTTTGTTCTAATGTTGGTTTCTAATAGAACCACATGACAAAGATACAATGTCACAATACTTTAAGAACCTTTTGAATCACTATATTTATTATTTCTGACATCTTATCTGTTGAAACAGACAAAAAAAGAACCAGAAGTGCCACTTTAAAAAAAATACTATCAAAAACTATTTTTACAATGATTTGGATTCAACGTTTCACATCCTGTGCTGCAATAATTCCAATGAAACAGCACTAATTATGCTCTTAATAATGCATATAATTATGCATTAAGTACTGATAATATCCATGACATACTTAAAGAAGCATATTGGAACATATTTGTGAAGTAATTTATCACGGTAGCGATAAATATCGTCATTTAGCCCAGCTCTACACTTAAATCTGATGGTTCTCCAAGGGTTCTTTAGTAAAGAAAATGGTTCTATATAGAACCATGAACACTCAAAGAACCCTTTGCATGATTAAAAGGTTCTTTGCATCGTGAAGGGGTTCTCCAGATCGATGAAGAATGTGCTCTATATTGAATTTCTTTGAAAAGTGTTCTGTTATTGTTACATTGCCGAGCTTGTAATAATAGAGGAACCGTTTTTGGTGCTATATAGAACCCTTATCAAAAAGGTTCTGTACAGAACCATTTTTAAGTGTGTAGTTTCTAATATCCGTTTGACTGTGTATCTGTTTTAATTGTTTATTTATGCTTTTTAAAGGTTTTCCACTTTGTTTCTTTAGCTTAGCTTCTTTAACCTTAGCAATGGCTAATGTTGCTAACAAACACCAGACGTCAATAGTCACCCAAATCTTTTCCGGAAATACGTGCACAAAACTTCTCTCAACCTTCTCGAACCACGTCCAGACTTGTCAGTGTGGTTTAGAACACAGTGAGACTTACTGTGGACTATAAATGAACAAAGCTTCACAGTGTAGCTGAACTCAGCGGGCAGCCGCTTTAGACAACAGGTGCTGTGCTGAATTTTCACTCCTTGCATAATCTGACTTCTCTTCAGGTTCATACCCACACATAGACGTATGGGTTCTAGATTATGTTTGTGATTTGAAACATCAATATTAACCCTTTTGTTGCCATGTGGAGGCTAAAGCAGAGAGCTAATAGCAGGTTTCACAGTGATCCGGCTGTGTGTTTGTGCTGTATTTCTGGGTTGTGTGATGTGAGGTTTCTCTCACTAGTGATGGCAGGTTCTGCTGAGTGTTCTGATGTGTGAATCATGGCGATATTTTTAACCCTTTGTTTATAATATGAAGGCTAAAAGCAGAGATATAACAGTAGCGAGTGGGTTGTGGGTGATTTTGGAGCTCTGGATGGTGATTCAGAGTCTGATGAGTGATCTGATGTATGAATCATGTCACTGTTTTAACCAAAAAACAGCAATAATATCAGGATTTTGAGTGATTTTCTGAGCCGAAATACTCATTGATGCTGACGTCATGGCTTGATGATGTCATGCTAGCTAGTTAGGGCCGGGTGTATCATGTCTGTAGCTTAAACTGTTCTGAAGTTATGAAGGCTAGAAGTGTCCTACATGTTTCTAAGGGTTCTAAGGGTTAACAGTCATTAATAAGAAGAAGCAACAGAAATAGTGAATATAGTCTATAGGTGTTCATAAGCCTCCATGAAGTGGGGACTCAGAATTCGGCACAACTGTTGTTGATAATGGCTGCGTTCAGCTTCAAGAAGAAGTTTTGCTCATTTTTATAGTTTACAGAGTCAAATTGTATCCTTAACCACAATAGACAATTCTATGTGAGCTTAAGGAACGCCTAGATGCACTTTAACTGGGTTGAGAGGCATTTTCAGAAGTATTCACGGAAAAGATTTGGGTGACTATTGACGTCTAGTGTTTGTTAGCGACATTAGCACAAACATAGTTACAGCACTAACTTAACGAAGCAAAAATTGGACAACTAACATGCCTTGACTGATCAACTCCTTCTGAGTTAAGTGGGAAATTGTGTACATTTTTTTCACCAAACTATTCGTTTAGCGTCAAACCACAGAGATTACAGTTGCAAATTAGCCAGTTGTTTATGGTACGTCTGCTTTCATGCGCATTGTCCGTGTAAGACTTAAAAAACAGTGCCTGCAGTAGAATAAAGCAGGTTTGACGGAGGACAAAAGCACTTGCTCTGCTGCTAACTGAAACGGAAGTACAGGATAAGGATCAAGGCCACGTTTGGCCTGTATATTTAAACCTGCCATTCCCGGTGCCTGGAATTTCATCTGTCACAGTGTTTTGTCTTTGTGTTATTGCACTACTGTGAAGTGACTGGACTGGTTTGGGTGCAAAGGACTCCTAAAGCTGCACCTCATTCCTCCATGAATCATTAAACAGGCTTATCACAGGGGCTTTCCCCGACCAGTGGACGAGCTGTGCTTCCTTCTGAAAAAAATTCCCCCTTCCAAGGGCCTCCTTTCTCTCTCTGTGCTTCTCGCTCTTATTTCAAAGAGGGCAATGACCTCACTGAATGCATGTCGAAGAAAGGAAAGTTCTTAAAGTTACGCGCCTACTCTCGAAGGGTAATTTTTGATAATACTGATCTATGAAATAAGACCTGTGGAATTCTACAAAGACCAATAAATGGTTAAACCAATCCAAACTGTCTTCTATTTCACATTCTTCTAAGTAGACCCCTTTAACTTGATTCAGTTTCACATATTCTTGGCATTCTGTCCAGCAAGTTCACGAGGAGCCCACTTACAATGCATTTCGAACAGGCTTGAAGAAGATACATATTATTGTTGTTGGAACGAAACCTCGTATCTCCAAAATGACAATTTTACAGGAGAAGGAAAAAACCTACTTTACTTTTAATGTAAGTCAGTGGAACCAGACTTTTTTCCAAGTCATTTTGGGCCGTTTCTATTGGTGCATTCATCATGAAATTTACATACAAAAAACAGGCATTTTCAGATTATGTCAAAAACTGAAAAACTGAAAAAAAAATGGAGATACGAGGTTTTCTTCCTACAGGACAATATGCTGCGACTTCGTTAGTCGAATTTAAAAAGCATTTTTTAAAAAGTTTAAAATGTGTTTTTTTTTGGAAATAAATTCATAGATTTGCGTAAACTTTACTTGTTTAGACGGGTACCATGCCAGTAACAGCCCCAAAGGCGAGTATTAAGGTACATATTCCAAGCAGCTACTGGGAGCCAGTGGAGTAAGATGCAGTTCCTGTAACTTGGGTACTAAACTGGGCTGGTTGAAGGTCAGTCAGGCTGCTGCAGTTTGAAGCATTTGCACAGCCAACAGGGAGTTGCGCTAGTCAAGCCATGAGTTGATCAGCATGCTCCATAAAGTAATCAGACCATGACAATATGGGCTGTCAAGGTCAGCTGGTTGTCAGTCATTACCTTGAGTGGACTTTACAAATGCCACTGATGTGGATATAATGGTTTGCAAGGTCATCTTGGATGACAAGAAGCTTCCATCTAAGAGTAACGGCAGTAAAAGGCCGAGTCGAGATGCCATTCATCCGTCCAAACTTCAGTATCTGTGAGGAAGTCAGAGATTTTTGTTGAAACTGAGGCATCGTCTCGACGTGAGATGCCGAGACGTCTTGAGGAGCAGAAACGTGTAGCTGGGTGTGGTCTGAATAGCAATCAAAGGAGAAGCTGTGTGGGTGGATGATTGGTCGTAGAGAGGTCATGTATGAGAAGAATATTAGGGGGCCAAGCACAGATCCCTGGGGTACACCACTTGTTACTTGATTTGACTTGGACACCTCTCTCAATGCCTTGCACGTCACCTAGAGAGACAGAGATCAAACGATTTGAGTGTCATCCCTGTACAGTAGGATCAGATGGTTCAGTTCAGAATATTTACACAAGGTATTTACAGAAACGAAAGCAGACGACTGAGTTTCAGTATGTGTCCTAAATGAAAAAGTAAACATAACCGCTGGCTGATTACAGTATTTCTCTCTCTCTTCTGCTCCTCACTGTACCAGCTGTGTTTTATTGTTCTTTTTTCCCTTTTCCAGACCCGTTTACAGCTCAGATGCTGGTGCTGATATTGGGAGGTGTTGTTCCCAGTGCCATTTGTCTGTTTGTGCTGGCTGCAGTCGGAGGCTTCGCTTATTACTACATCTGCGGTCACAAGCAGAGGCTTCCCATGAGCACGGTGAGCCACAATAAGGGAACCACTCAGGGAATTTAAACATGAACATGTCTGTTAGAGCTACGTCTTAAAAGGCGCTTGCCAGAAAGTCAATCTAGGAGTAGTTTTTGTCTTCATATTCTAATAAGTGGCAGTACTTGCTTACTGCTCGGTGACTTCTGGCAAATATGGGCTATTGTGGCTAATCTGCCTAGGTTACCAGGTGAAATCTTTAAGCAGAACATGTTTCAAGAATGCTGCCCTCCTGCATAGTTTAGTCCCACATTACTGTAGAATTGATATGCTACTGAAAACTTTGTTTGGGCAGATGTGTTAGATGATGACAGCTGCTTCTTCTGGTAGGCAGTTTCCATCATTTCTCAATTTCTTTGCTGCAGTCGCTTCCGAGAACTGCTCTCATGGCCCAATCCCATTTCTCATTTTACCCCTACCCCTTGTTTTCGAGTGTCACCTTGCCCCTTGGAACCAAGTTACAGGGGGGAGCGGTTGAAATCTTCCCTACAGAATGGGACCCTCAAATAAAAAGAGCATCACTTCATTAACAGCTACCAGCGCTGCTCTGTAGGCGACCCTGCCAGTCTGCAGTGACAGCAGAGGAGGGTAAAGTTCAGCTCCTCACTGCTGGGCTTTAGTTACATTTAGGGAATCATATGACTTCAAAGAGGGGGGCAATTATTTATTATCACCCACCCCTAATTCTTCAGTGATATGAAGCTGAAGTCAGATATTCACCAGCTTCTTGTTCAAATTTTCCCGTTCCACCTTAAATAGTGTAGCGATTACATTCTGGCGCTTCAGGTGTCAGAACTGCTGGACTATTTAAGGTGGAATGGGAAAATTAGCTAGCTAGCTACCGAGAGCTAGGGGCGAAGGGTGAAATGGGATTGGGCCTATGTTTTGATCAGACACCCAACACAAAGTACTGATTATTTTTCTTGTGATGGCAGGATTTGGTTCACGTCGACGAGAAACAAAAGTTGTTCCAGCCAGACAAACCTGTAACCATCATCAACCTGAACCTGATCTCCACCAACCTGAGCACGCAGGAGTCCAAACTGAGGCCTTGGGGTCCTCGTCACCACTTCGTCAGCGGGAACGAGCACCTGCAGCCCGTCCAGGCCCTGCCGGCTAGAAGAGAAGGGGAACCTGAGGATCCCCCTCCAGGAGGAGAGATTGTACAGTCCTATGCTGCGCAGGATGTCCAACATCAAGCTGAATTCAACAGTGCCTCTGATGTTGCTTCAGATCTGGGGTCCAGTAATGAATTTCTGAGTGACGACTATGGGCTGGTGCTCCGCGAGCAGGACCCCCAGCTGGACATGAGTGGCTTGGCGGTGCCGGACATGCTTAACCCAAAGGTGGAGGAGCCCCCGGAGTGTAAGGTCGACCTGTACATGGCGCAGAGCAGAGAGAGAGACTCAGGAGAGAAAAGTTATGAGGAGGAGGCGGAGCAGGAGGAGAAGGAAGAGGGAACATTTCTGGACTGGGACCCACGGACTGGGGTGCTGAAGATCCCTCTGCTCTGCCAGTTGGGCTCAGAAGTTCCCACAGCTACAGAGAAGGAGACGGAACCAAAGACAAGAGTGGACATAGAGTTGCTCCAGCGCAGGCCCATCCTAACCAGTGTGGTGGTCAGACAGTGTTCAGAGGAGAGTGGAGAGGAGGACGACTTCTCTAAAATGGAGAAACACTGGGGGCTGCAGATACAGAGCAGTCCTGAATAAACGTTTGCATGGAGGAGGAAGACGCTACACCTCTATGTTGCTGCCAGCACTGAGTATCGGCCGATACTGATACCGATCCAGTACTTTTTATGTGAAAATGTTTTTCCTGAAAACCTGAGTTGGTGCTCAGTCAGAGGACAGACATCAGTTGTCTTAGACCAGAGGTCTTCAAACCGTCTGAGAGGGCCGGAATGACTGGTTTGGTCACTTTAACTCTCTAAGACAGAGATTATCTTAACTGTCAGTAAAAGTGCTCAAACTGATATTCACTCTGCTTATCACTGTGATCTGTGTGCTACGATGCTTTTGTGAACTTCTCATAAATATTACGTCAAAAGCAAAACCTGCGTGAACTAAAAATGTTCATTCAGTCAGTTTTTCGTTTAAAGAGGCTGATTTTGAGCTCGTTTAAAAGTTTTACATGAGATGAACTGAAGGCACAGTCAGTGAAGGGGTTTGACAGAGTCCGTGGTGGAGGGTTCGTGAAACCCATGCTCTGATTTTTCCATCATACTGTGAATGTAGGCTATGGAAATTGTACAGTATTTTTAAATTTGAAATCTAACTTTTCTAATTTTCTGTTATGACACTCAAAAAAATATTCTGCATTTATTTTAGGTCAATTTTTTTATTGTTTTTCTGAAAGATGACTGTAATTGTGGTTATGTTTGTGCTGTCATGTATAACAATGAAGGTTTGTAATTTATATCTCTGTATTGCAATATACAATCTTACAATGTGAAAGCTCAAGTTCATAGTGCTGCAGGATATTATACGGAAATGGTTAAAAGCTCTTTGTTTCTGGTTTCCTAAATGAAGGACATATATGAAGGATTAATATGGTGTATTGTGTATATATACATATACTGTGTATGTATATATAAATATATATATATATATATATATATATATATATATATATATATATATATATATATATATATATATATATATGTATGAAAACCTCATCTCTATTTGTGTCATTTTTCTGTTTTTGTCATAGTTTAAAAATTATGTGTAAATTTCATGATAAATACACTTTAAGAACTGACTAGGTTTTTTCCTTCTCCTGTAAAGTGACCATTTTGGAGATATGAGGTTTTCTTCTAACAACAGCGATAGATATATACATATATATATATATATATATATATATATATATATATATATATATATATATATATATTGCGATATGTGCTGTGTGTTTGTATATATATATATATATATATGTATGTATGTATTTACATTGCCCTTTACATTGCGTGCAAATTTCATGATGAATGGACCAAAAAAAACAGCCCAAAATGACTTGGACAAATAGTCTGTTTCCATTGACTTACATTAAAAGTAAAGTATGTTTTTTCCTTCTCCTGTAAAGTTGTTATTTTGGAGATACGACGTTTTGTTCCGACAGCAGCAATATACAAATATGCATACATATATATATATATGGTACAGTTTTTCAAAATGTAAAATTTATTTTTCAGGTTTTTCATGACTGTCTCTTTGTTGGAATTGTAACAGAGATTCTCAGCAGAATAAACTCACAGACCAAAGACTAAATCCTACCTATAGCCTTCATATTTTCCTGTGGTACTGGTGGTTGAAAAAACAAACTATAGAAAAGAATGAAGATAACATATAAAAATGCAAATTACTGTTTTATTATCATGTATTTAAAAAAGAAACAGTCAGAAATGCAGCAGAAAAGCACATCTCGTTTCAACAGTTGTTTTGTCCCTGTTGTCTATCAGTCTCCAACAGTTGTTGGTAGATCCCCTGTCAGCATTCGGGGTTCTTGAAAACTGCTTATAACATCTGTTTGGTAGGTTGGTCTGGCCTGGATTAACTGCCAGTGGTTTAAAATGTTCTCCATTTGTAGATGATCTCTGAGAAAACAGAGTGATTGGCTACAAACAGCACAGAACTGTACATCTACAAACTGCAACTACAAGGAAGATGTGCCTGATAAAATGGTCAGTGAGAGAAATCTGGCTCCCTCTTCTGGTTGCTTATAGAACTCCTGTATACAACAGCTGCCCTTTGTTTACTCCTCCACGCCAAATATTCAATGCAATGTGTTGTCAAGAGTGCCTAGGCTGCTCAGATGGATTACTAGAATGTCTCAAGCCCTAGCTGTCCTTTACTCTGATATCTCTACACCAGTGGTCAGCAACCCTGCTCCTGGAGATCTACCTTCCTGCAGAGTCCATGTCCAACCCTAATTGACCCTTCCTGATCCATCTGATTGTTGCCTTCACAAGCCCTTGACTAACTGAATGAGGCGTGTTAGATTTGGTAGGTTAGTTGGTGGTGAAACCTGCATGAGAGTTGGTGACCACTCATCCTACCTGGCTTAAAAAGGGTTGACCTGCTGATGAGGTTTGGGGTCATTGATATTTCAATGCTGAATAAAATCCTCTAGCTGGATTCAATGGTGAACATGTAGGGAGGTGTAAAACAGAATCTTGGATTGTTCTGGAAACTTCAGCAGGTTCACCAAAGTGACACTGGTCACACACTGACCGGCAGGAACATCTCTTTTTTTTTGGACAAGGTCTTCCTCCAACTGTTCCTTCTTTTCTTCCTCCAGCGCTCCATTTTACAGCAGTTAGCAATGGAAGCCTCCATAGTTGCTGCCGTTATTCATGTGGCTTGTTTGCTTGGAAGATCATTGGTTGGTAAGTGAAACCAGTTCATACAGAATATTAATGTGTAGCTTTCCTGCATAAAGGAAAAGCTGTAATGTGAAATGTGTTCAGAGGTGTAAGTAGCGAGTTACATTTACTCTCGTTACTGGAATTGAGTACAAAAGTACCTGTAACGGTACTTTTTTGAGTAGAATTAAATCATAGTGCTTTTACTCTTACTTGAGTTCATTTTTAATGAAATACTTTTACTTCGCTACTTTAATTTTCATAACGTTACAGAGTGAAAATATATGATGAGCGAATCAGCTCAGAAACCAATACGAACGAAGCGCGGTAAATTTAAAAGATTCATCAATCAAAAAACAGCAGCTCCAGCTGGAAAAACACTACAGAGATGTCCAGTTTAGTGGAGAAGGACAGAGGAGAACTGGACCAGCACACACGAGGAGCAGACCATCCAAACGGTCATCTGTGTTCATTTAACATTAACTAAAGAAAACTGCGTCATTATCAGCGGCCGAACACGAACCTGCTGAGATCCGCTCTCACAGCTCGACTCGACTGAGGCAGCGCTAACCGAGCTAGCTGAGCTGAGCAGGTACCGTGTTCACGGGTTTCTTCTGTCTTTTATAATGATTCTGTTTATTAAACCAAAAATCTGCTGCGTATATTTTATTACAGTGTCTGTCAGATACTTTAGTTAACAGGTGTCGCCCACAGTTTACCCCTATATACAGCCTCGTTTAGCTGCTGTTTTGGAAATAAACGGTCATGAGCGGCTGAGATAGAAATCTAGTTTAATACCAGTTCTTCATCAGCTCTGGACACTGGCTGTGTTTACATGCAAAGATTTTTGCCAATCCGATCGAATACATTCAGATTACAGATTAAGACTGAGTGTTTATTCACTCTACTCAACAACCTGATGGAAAATCTTCGTTTACATGCTCACTACAAGTAATCCGATGCAAAATGACACACATGCGTGAAGTACCACTTAGAGTAAACGTTACTAGGACAGCAAGCCTCACGTGAGGTCCAGTCAGAGTGAGATGAGCAGCAGTGAGCAGCGCTTGTGTTTTTAATTGCTTTAAAATGATGTCAGACTCAGGAAAACGTCCTTCACATGTCCTTATTAAAGAAGGCCGAGAGGAAGACGTCGTGTTCTGAGACACATAAGCTGGACGTCCGTCCCACCGCCGTCTTTTAAAGATCAGAGCATAAACTTCGTCTCCTCTGCAGACCAGTTTCTGCTCCGCCATGTTGAACGGTATAAACTCTCACTATGACGCGACGAACATGATCAGAACGGACTTAAACTTTCCGATAGGGAATGTAATCAGATACAGGCGTTTACACGGATATTATTCTTCTATTTAGCAGATTATTTACAGGATTACCCACCTCGATCAATCAGATAGAGACTGTATTCCGAATGGCCTCAATTGGACTAGACTATTCCGATTGAGGTGTTTACATGGACGTATTCTATTCTGATTGAGCTATTAGTCGGGTTATTAACGGATTATGAGGCTGCATGTAAACGCGGCTAGTGATTCTGTCGTGCTGTCGACTGGCCTGATCTGATCCTTCCCCTCCTCCCACCCTCTCTCTCTCTCTCTTCCTCTCTCTCTCTGTCTCTCTCTATCTGTCTCTCTCGACCCAGTCACTCTAGCTCTCTCATCCTCTCTCTCTTTCTGTCTCTCTTCCTTCCTCTCTGTCAGTCTCTCTGCCTTGGTGTTTGTCTTTAACTGTGAGAGGCTGTGTAGCTGTGAAATTCATTAATAATGTCTGGTTCTGTATGAAGTGATCAGCGTGATTAGTGAAGTATTACAGTAAAATCAAAGCTGGGTAAGTTGCTGATGTTGCTGCTGATTTTAATGGTGTAAATGTTCTGAATAGATAGTTTGGATGGCAGCATATGTTGCCAAAACATATATACATCATTCAGCATTAAATAAAGGCAAACACAGTATAAAATAAGTTCATCAGTTTGGGTCAAGTAACCTCACGGTTCCTACAACCCTAAACCCAGCGTAGAGAGGCTGAGTGAATGTGGTGTGGACTGTGTGTAGGAGGGTCATTGTGTCAGAGACGCTGTAGAAGGACAGAGTTCCTGCACTGTGATCCACATACACTCCTATTCTGGAGGATGATGGAGCTGAGAGCTCAGTCTTAATGCTGTTGTGCCAGAAAGAGAGAGCAGAAGAACACAACAGACTCCAGGACTGATCGTTGAATCCAAACACACATTCATTACCATTTCCTTTCCTGCTGATCCCTTTATATGACACTGATATGCCCACCCACTCCCCAAGGCTCCACTCGACCTCCCAGTAACAGCGTCCACTCACACTCTCCTTACACAACACCTGAGTCCAGTACTGAAATCTCTCTGGGTGGTCAGAGAGACTCTGCTCTCCTCCTCTGTACTTCACCACTCTGTTCTGCTCAGACAGGCTGAGTCTATGATGTACAGTGTTGGGATCCAGAGTCAGTCGACAGAAATCTAAAATAAAGAAAAACAAAGGTTTTTATTTGCATAATATATTCAAGGGTAAGAGAACAATTTGTTGGTTTTATATATATATATAATATATATATATATATATATATATATATATATATATATATATATGTATATATATAATATATATATATACATATATACTATATATATATATATATATAGGAAAAATGCTGTGACCATATTCAACCTTCAAACGTTGGTTTATATATAACTATCTAAAGATTCCTTTGTTGTCAGTGATGGGAAATTGGGAAACATCTGATTCTATCATGTTGTTTAAAGTGAATTCTGTTTCAGAAGGAAACAGTGTGCACAGTCAGAACAGCAAGATTTAGCAAAGCTTAAAAAAAGAGGAAATTAAAAGACAGAAATGGGTATTTTTAAGTGTTGTACATACACTGTAGAAAATCTTCTCTGGATTTTGGCTCTGAGGATAAAATCTTCTGAACCGCTGCAGCTGTGGAGACACACAAACACACTGATTTACTTAAGATACTAGTTTTATCAAATTCAGCATGACTGTGTCAATCTGGCCAGAATATCAGCCAATTTGGCACTAAGTGACACAATAGGCAGTGCTCTGCGGAGTTTATTATGATTTGTAAGCCTTCAGTTTGATATCAGTGCCTCAGTTTTTGAATTTGAAGCTCCAGTTTGTGTTAAAAGATGTAACTGGGGATGTTTAAAAGTACATCTGTCCCTTAAAGTATGTCGTATTCTACCCATCCAAGGCCAAGAACAAATGTAAAAAATGTCAAAGCAAGCGTCTAACTTTACTTCAGTGTATGTGTGTGTGTGTGTGTGTGTGTGTGTGTGTGTTGTTCATACACTGTAGAAAATCTTCTCTGGTTTTTGGCTCTGAGGATAAGATGGTCTGAACTGCTGCAGCTGTGGAGACACACAAACACACTGATTTAACAGAATGAATGAAGGAGATTAAAATGATGTTTAAAGTGAGATAAAATGTCATTTGCAGCAGAAGCTCCTCTTACCATGTGGAGAGACTTTACTGAACTCCTCCTTGTAGAATTCCTCTAGTCTCTCTTTCAGATCAGAGAGAGATTTCCTCACTCCATCAAATGAGGGATGTTGATGGACAGTGATGCTGGAGGAGTCCTCACATCCAGAAGAGACACTCAGAGACTGGAAACTCTACAGAGAGAAAAAAGAACAGAGAGAGTTAAAGGTGGAATGAACTATGTCAAATTAGGCAAAAGACACTGGCGACTATGGTGTACTATAAAAATGGACCAAAAACAGTAGTAGCAGTCATGTTGTCCATACTTCTGTCCATTTAATATACAACAGTATGTCATACAGTGTTAGAAACCACATATGCAGTACTATCTGACGTTACTTAACAATTCAACACGGTTTAAGGCAAATGTGAGGATTTAGGCATGCAGTTAGCACCATGCTAATAGGCTATCATAAGCTTCCATAACTTGTTAGGTACAGTAAACACTTAACAAAGATGGTTCATGTCAAGCGTTTAATAACAGAAGAACCGTTTTTGGTGTTATATAGAACAATATAGAGCCATATACAACACATTCTTCATCAATCTGAAGAACTATTTCACCATGTTAAGAACCATTTAAGCATTTCAGAACTCATGGTTCTACATAGAACCACTGCCTTTACTAAGGAACACTTGAAGAACCATCTTTTTTAAGTGTGTAGGTCAAGTGCAAAACCTAAGTATCCAAATATGTCTTAGTTGATTGACTACAACTTTAGTATCTGCTGAACAATTCCTGCTGTGAACTTTTGGTTTTGGCTGTGTTCAAAGTGGCACTTTAGAGCCTCTCTGAGGAGCAGGTTCCTCTGTAGGTGAGTGATGGTTACCTGGAGGAAGTGGATGTGATCCTCTGTGACTGAAAGCTGCTCCAGCTCAGTGTTTCTCCTCTTTAGATCATCAATCTCCTGCTGCAGGTTCTCCAGGAGTTCTCCAGTTTGTCTCAGCTGGTTCTTCTCCTGAGTTCTGATCAGCTTTGTTACCTCAGAGCGCTTTTTCTCAATGGAGCAGATCAGCTCAGTAAAGATCCTCTCACTGTCCTCCACTGCTGCCTGTGCAGAGCGCTGTTAGGACACAGACACACAAGATGGAGCTCCATTTGAACACCAGCTATCATTCACTCTCTCACTGGGACTCTAGATCAGTGTTTTCCAGTCCAGTCCTCTGGAACCTCAGCCACATTTTCAGTCTATCCCAACTCCCAGTTCAACAATAACAAGTACTTTTTTATTGAGTGGTTCAACAACTGGGACAGAGCAAAAATGTGGACCATCTAGGGGTCTTCAAGGACTCCACCGGAAAAATGAATGTCCATGCTGTAGCAGTGAGGATCTACGTCTGTATATCTAACTTTATTAACTGATAGTCCCACTTTTCACCCAATAACGTAGCCAAAATCCTCCTACCTTTTCAGGAAGAGGCCATTTGACTAACATGCAAAATGACCAGTCACAGCCTACGGTTCTGCTGCGGCATGTAGGGGGCAGTTGTGCAAATCATAGGCATATATCTTGCTCTGAAAGGCTAATTTTTCATCACAATGTCCAGTGAGGGCAGCTGTTCACTACTTCTGACCAGAATTAAGCTGGAAAACAAACTTTGTTTCCCGTTTCGAATGCTAAAAACACTAATCACAGATGAACAATCAAAATGCATGTTGAAAGAATCCTGATAGTTGAGGATAGATAGATAGATAGATAGATAGATAGATAGATAGATAGATAGATAGATAGATAGATAGATTTGATGCCAAAAATACGTTCCAAAAAAGTTGGGACTCGGGCAACAAAACGCTGGTAAAGTTGTGTAATGCTAAAAAAACACCTGGTGGTTAACTGCAAACAGGTCAGTAACGTGATTGGGTATAAAGAGCATCCCAGAGAGGCTGAGTCTTTCAGAAGTAAAGGTGAGGAGGGTTCACCACTCTGTGAAAGACTGCACGATCAAATAGTGCAACAATTCAAGAATAACATTTCTCAACATAAAGTAGCAAAGAACTTTTGCTTTTCATCATCTACAGTACATAATAACATTAAACGATTCAGAGAATCTGGAGAAATCTCTGTATGTAAGAGACAAGGCCAAAAATCAACATAGGCTGGCTGTGATCTTTGGGCCCTCAGGCAGCACTGTATTAAAAACAAACATGATTCTGTAGAGAAAATCACTGCATGGGCTCAGAAACACTTCTGAAAACCACTGCCTGTGAAAACGGTTCATCACTGCGTCCACAAATGCAAGTTAAAACTGTAAAATGCAAAAAAGAAACCGTATATAAACAGGATCCAGAAATGCTGCCACCTTCTCTGGGCCTGAGCTCATTTAAAACAGACAGAGATGAAATGGAAAAGTGTTGTCCAACGAATTAACATTTAAAATTCTTTTTGGAAATCGTGGACACTGTGTCCTCTGGGCTAAAGACCCCTCAGCTTGTTATCAGTGCACAGTTCAAAAGCTAGTATTCATGATGGTATAGGGGTGGCATTAGTGCACATGGCATGGGTAACTTGCACATCTGTGAAGGCACCATTAATGTTGTTGGCATCAAATTTATAATGGACATATATTTTTTAAAAAAGTAGTATTTTCCTTTAAAAATATGATTTACACGTATTGCATATCATTGCATTCTATTTTTATTTACATTCTGCACAGCGTCACAACTTTTTTGGAAATATGGTTGTACTTTACTCCAACGACCACATATGGAATGTTCTTATGTCCGTTTTCCCGAAGACTGCTAAAAATATAAAATAATGCCCTGTAATCCCTTAAACTTTAATGTTAGATAGTCTTATTTTTGTAGAGCAACAGCGCTCTAAATTGTTCTGGCTCTCTGGACCTCCACCGCGGGCGAGCACCTAAGTCGGACATAAATTTGTGAGATTCAAGGGTTTGTACCTCCGGTTCCCTGACGGCTAGCAGCGCGATCCAGGGCTCATTGGAAAAGGTGAATCACGCTCTACTGAGATGTGGCGTTTGGCTTCGTCACAGATTTTTAAAGTCAGATTTTTAAAGTCGCTTGATGCAAAGCGTTCCTTTCTCCTAGGATTTTATTGATGACGTCATCAGCGATTAGTTGACATCAACTCAAACTTTCATCACTTTAAAAATTGGAAGTCAGGCAACCTCTACTACTCACCTTAAGAGTGACCACAGCCTGTTTCAGCTCTTGCAGCTTCTTCTCTTTCTCCTGGAGTCTCTGCTGGGATTTCCTCTGAACCTCCTTCAGCTGACGCTGATGAAAAATACATTATATGGATTTTAATTTACAAGGACAGCTGTAGAGTTGAAGCTCTCTCTTATTTTTAAATCTTCTATCTATCATGTGGCACTACAAAGGTGTAAAAAGGCTGGAGGATTGATGTTGGTTGGTCAAAGTCACTGAATGCATTGACTTGTGTAAAAATGACTGTATATTTTTTTAACTATAACTTATTATATTGAACTAGAATCATTATTCAGTTATTTGTCTTCAGACTTGTTAACTCTAAAACTCTAAAACGTATTATATAGCAACTATCACACTATCAAATATCATTTGATATATAATAATAAATATGAAACTAATATGTAACTCATGTAGTTACTGAAGCACAGGACCGCATTCGGGGCCATTTTATGATTAATTACTTGAAATGATCGACTGAAGTGACACTGTAACTCACTAATGCAATTAATTCTAGTTTAGCAATACAATAAACATAACTAACAAACATAAACTGATTCTACAAGACTTCTTTGTCTCACCTGTTTCTCGGTTCTCTCTGCTGCAGCTGCAACTGTATCATGACCTCTGTGTTCATCCATCGTACACAAATAACAGATGCAGCTTTGGTCAGTACGGCAATAGATCTCGATCAGTTTGTCATGTTGAGGGCAGATCTTCTCCTGTAGTCGTGTGGAGGCTTTGACCAGCTTGTGTTTAATCAAAGCTGGAATTTCCAGATGAGGTTCAAGATGAGTTTCACAAAAAGAGGCCAGACACATCAGACAAGACTTGATGGCTTTGAGTTTCCTCCCAGTGCAGAAATCACACTCCACATCTCCAGGTTCAGCGTAACAGTGAGCAGGAGGAGCAGCTTGGAGTTCTGTCTTCTTCACTTTCTCCAACATTTCAGCTATAAAATAGTTCCTGCGTAGAACAGGCCTCGGAGTGAAGGTCTCTCTGCACTGGGGGCAGCTGTAGACCCCCCTCTGATCCTCCTGATCCCAGCAGCCATTAATACACACCATACAGAAACTGTGTCCACAGGGAATAGTCACTGGGTCCTTCAGCAGATCCAGACAGACTGGACAGCTGAACTGGTCCTGATCTACTGAAATACTGGCCTCTGCCATTTTCCTGCACTCGCAGACTGAGAGAGAGAGAGAGAGAGAGAGAGAGAGAGAGAGAGAGAGAGAGAGAGAGAGAGAGAGAGAGAGAGAGAGAGAGAGACGCACTCTGAGATCAGTTTCGTTTTCTCTGAACTGAGTAGGAGGGACTTCCTGCTTCTGTGTTTGTTAATGAGTCATTGGCTGTGCTCAAAATAGCACGCTGAGCACTGTGTAGGCCAACTACTTACTACATTTGGGCCAATAACAGTATGTAAGTGGTGTGGTAGGCTATTTGGAGCACAGCCACAGAGAGAGAGAGGGCAGAGAGAGAGAGGGAAGGAGAAAGAGAGGAGAGAGAAGAAAGAAAGAGATTAATAAAGACAGAATTCTTTCCTGGGATTCTGGAAAGTGACGCGCTGTGGACCAGAGCCGTTAACGTAGCCTAATGGATTAAGTGGGCTCCAGCCTGTAAGAGTTAATCAGTGTGTATCTTCTGATCTACTGACTGACTCACAACTTGGACTCACCCTTGAATGACTCATGACTCCAAGGGTGGGTGGAACATTCAAGGGACTGAATATGATCTTCCTCGTGTGTGTGTGTGTCAGTAATATAATGATCAAATCTCTCCACAATAACTCCAACCTGAAAATGCAATAGTTGTAACAGTTACTACAATATGGTTAGAGAAAGAACCCTCTTCTCAATGATACAGGAGGCTCTATTAACACCAATCAGAAGTCCAACCATGGCCAGTTATGTCTACCAGGGTGTAGATATTGTGGTGTCCGACTACTGGCCGCATTGCTATAGGAGTGAAGGAGGCGTGGCCATGCAAAGGGACCATGCAAAGAGGCTCTGGGGAAGTGCCGCGCTTGGGGAGACAATGTTTCAGACGTGTGTTTGTGGTGTTTGTGTTAGTTTGTATTGGGCAGTGCGGTCAGTAGAGTCGGGTTGTGTCTTCCATGAAGTAGAATTGTGTGGCTTTTGGTGAACTGCCCCGCTATGCCGGCTTCTTTACTAGCACTGGGCAGTGCTATTTTCTCACTGCCTGTTCTAATAAGAGCAATGCCCCGTGTGTGCGATGTTCTCCACGTTTTACTCTGTGCTGACATCACAGTGTTCATGTTTTTGTATATAAACTGTTAAAATCTCATAAAATATTAGATGTTTTATTACTCAGAGCTACATAAAAGCTCACAATTTTTAGCTTTATCTAAACATCACAGTCATTAATATGTTATGGAACTCTCCATGTAAGTGATACGAGGATGAAGAGCACAATTAATGAAGAAGATTTATGTGTTTTAAGCACTCCTGCCTCACTTTTTGTCTCACTCTGTGCCCATAATATAGCTATTATCACCCCATGTTGTGTCTTCCTCCTTTCTTTCTTGGTGCTTACCATTAGAACACAAATTTTTATTTTATTTTATTTTTATAACATAAACACAGACCGAACCTCACCCTCACACCCTAAAGGCCAGAGTACACCGACGGGACAAACACTTACATTGTAATGTTTTCAGTTGTCTTTAAAATGTTCAGCAACCAAAACACAACTGCTTTTTCTAGCAGGAATAGCAGGTTTTCATGTTGCATTAGGAGGCTTTGGGGTAAACTGACCACTCCTTCAGCTGAGCTCACGCTAAAGCTAACACCAGAGCTACCCAGATCACAGAGGTCTCAGATCTGGATCCGCTTTTCCACAACCTTAGTGTCCACTGACATGGTAGAGGCCTGTTAGTGTGTGTTGAGCTGGGATGAGTGGACTCACTGTCCAATCAGAGATCATAGCTCATCTTTTGCACAGCTTGTGTTGGTCATCCTATAGTCCTTCATCAGTGGTCACAGGACGCTGTCGGGTGGATATTTTGGTTCTCAGTCCAGCAGCGACACTGAAGTGTTTAAAAACTCCAGCAGCACTGCTGTGTCTGATCCACTTGGACCAGCGCAACACACACCAACACACCACCACCACATCAGTGTTACTGCTGTGCTGAGAATGATCCACCACCAAAACTGCTCTGTGAGGGTCCATGGGGGTCCTAACCATTGAAGAACTCAATGTAGAGTTCATACAGCTTACTTTGTGTATCTAAAAAAGTCAAATAATGAAATAATTGATCATATAACCCAGATTATAGACAGATTATAGGTTACATTAATCAAAAAAGAAAAATTCTACAGGGATATTTACACTTTAAATGTGTTACCACAGACCATAAATTGGATACTATTTCAGGAAAACACAGAACACATCAGCATATTATAGTTATATCTATATATCTATCTGGGGATGTTGACATTTCGTCCATAGACGATCATTCGTTTTACAGTACAGTGTTTACTAATATGGTGATCAAGTGTCGTCAGTGTGTTTATAGTGACGTCATCAGCAACCTCTACAGCCCAAACCAGCCCTTTATATGACTGTATACAGCCATTAGTTTCTTACCGCTAAAACTTACTTGAGTGCTAATAGCTCCCCCTTGTGGAGAATCTTACAGGAAAAGACAATCCTGATAAAAAGGGCGTCTCTAAATACACACAAGTCCTCTTAATACAGACAACACACTGTTTATTAACAAACACAATGAGATTCATCTTATTGAAGCTGATTTCCTCTGAACACAACATGTGGTTTAGAAGACAAACAGTCCAAAAGGAAGAGATTAATCAGATTTGATTAGTTTAGATTAATAATTCTTTGGATTAAGATACAGATTACATTTTCACAGGTGATCAGTAATTTACACCAAAATACAGGACAACTCTGTCCTTTGCAGCATGTTTACATCACAACTAGAAAAGTATTTTCATCATTTCATTGGTTTGATGTAAATCGTTTATGAATCTACCTGAAAAGTATCCATCATATACAACAGACACTCATTTCAGATCACACAACCTCACAGTTCCACCAACAAACAGATCAACACCGACTCCAAACCCAGTGTAGAGCGGCTGAGTGAATGTGGTGTGGACTGTGTGTAGGAGGGTCATTGTGTCAGAGATGCTGTAGAAGGACAGAGTTCCTGCACTGTGATCCACATACACTCCTATTCTGGAGGATGATGGACCTGAGAGCTCAGTCTTAATGTTGTTGTGCCAGAAAGTGAGAGGAGAACACAACAGACTCCAGGACTGATTGTTGAATCCAAACCTGCATTCATTACTGTCTCCTTTCCTGCTGATCCCTTTATATGACACTGATATGAACACCCAACCTCTCCTTTCGACCTCCCAGTAACAGCGTCCACTCACACTCTCCTTACACAACACCTGAAACTCTGAATCAAATCTCTCTGGATGGTCAGAGTAACACTGCACTCCTCTTCTGTACTTCACCACTCTGTTCTGCTCAGACAGTCTGAGTCTATGATTTACAGTGTTGGGATCCAGAGTCAGTCGACAGAAATCTAAAATAATAAAAACACATTTCAGGTGTTTATTCACAGAATGAATTCATGATGAATAAAATATGCTTCTCAGTTGTTATTTCTACATTTCTATTTTCTTACAAAAATCCAAATACAATATAAATATAAAATATAAATGTAGAGTATTTTGATTGTTTAATGACCAACAAGGGAAAAATGCTGTGATCATATTTAAACCTCCAAACGTCATTTTGTCATCAGTGACCTAAAATGCTGCTTCTTCCTGGCTGTTTAAGGTTTATTCTGATTTAAAAGGAAGCATTAAATCAGGAAACTATACTGTCTAAATCAATATCTGTTTGTGTGTATGTATTGTGTTAGTGTGTGTGTGTTTGAGTGTGTGAGTGTGTATATGAATTCTCAGTTCTTACAGGACTTCTCTGAGTTTCTATCAAGTCTAATAACGCTTTAAAATAAAATAATAGTTGTTTGAGCTTTTAACATCCACTTTGACAATCCTCAAGAAGCACTAAGTAAGGCATTCATATCTATCACAGACTCCATAAGTTTCACCCAAATCATAAAGGGGCCCACACACTACCACAACCACACTCTAGACTTAATACTCACCTTTGGTGTAGACATAGATAACTTAGCCATTCTCCCCCAGAGCACAGCAGTCTCTGACCATTACTTAATCTCATACAAAATTCACTTTAGTGGTAATGTGCGTTCATCACCATGTTATCATGTTAAGCAGACAATATCTTCCTCCACAGCTGGTGGCTTTATTAGAAATCATCCACAATTATCAGCTTCTGTCAGCTGTCCATCTGATCCTACCGAATTAGATGTTATGACCAAGTGCTTAGAGGATACTTTTATAATCTAGATAGTGTGGTTCCATTAAAAAGTAAAATAGTAAGGCTGAAAAAACTCACCCCTTGGTATAATGACCACACTCGGGCTTTAAAACAGACCGCCAGACAACTAGAGCGAAAATGGCGCCTGACTAAGCTAGAAGTGTTCCAGTCCGCCTGGAAGGAGAGCCTTACAGACTATAGAAGAGCACTTGTTACAGCACACTCAGCTTATCTCTCCTCTCTCATAGAAAACAATAAGAATAATCATAGATTACTTTTCAGCACAATCTCTAAACTAACAGAGAACAAAACAGTTAGTGAACCCCAGATGCCACCAGCCTGTAGCAGCAATGATTTTATGAACTTCTTTAGTGATAAAATTGAAAAAATTAGGCAGAAAATTCAGAATACACAATTAAACTCCTCAAACCTGCTTCCCCATAATGCCAGCCTCAACCTTGAGAATAGTATGATCCCTGCAGAGAGGCTGGAATCATTTACCTTAATTCAAGAAAATGAACTAGTTAAAATAATTTCTTCCGCAAAATCATCTACTTGTATGTTAGATCCGATTCCTACAGGTTTACTCAAGGAAATTTTGCCAGAAATAACCAAGCCTATTCTCTCAATAATAAACTCCTCTCTTAGCCTTGGATACATCCCAAAATCTCTTAAACTAGCAGTAATTAGACCGCTGATTAAGAAAGCTAACCTTGATCCCTGTGAACTACCAAATTATAGACCCATCTCGAACCTCCCCTTTATATCTAAGATCATGGAAAAAGTTGTAGCAAAACAATTAAGTTCCTATTTGCACAGGAATCAAATACATGAAATATTTCAATCTGGTTTTAGGCCACATCATAGTACAGAAACAGCACTAGTAAAAACTGTAAATGATCTATTATTATTTTCTGACCAAGATCATGTGTCTCTGTTAGTCCTTCTCGATCTTAGTGCGGCATTTGACACAATAGACCACACTGTCTATCTTACTAGATAGACTAGAAAACCTTGTAGGGGTAACAGGAACAGCTCTTTCCTGGTTCCGGTCCTACCTCACTGATCGGTATCAGTTTGTTAATTTAAACAGTGAATCATCTGTTCTCACAAAAGTAAAGTATGGTGTTCCACAAGGCTCTGTTTTAGGACCTGTATTATTCACATTATATATGCCACCACTGGGCACCATTATCAGTAGACACAGCATAAATTTCCACTGTTATGCCGATGACACTCAGTTATATTTAGCAAGTGAAACGGATGATAAAATTAAACTTGGCAAGATTGAAGACTGTTTAAAAGACGTAAAAGACTGGATGTTGAGTAATTTTCTCCTTCTTAACTCGGATAAAACAGAGGTTCTGCTTCTTGGTCCAAAAGCAGCCAGAAACAAACTGTCTGATTTTACACTTAACAATTTCTCAGTAGCATCAAGTTCACCTGTAAAAAACCTTGGTGTCATTATAGACCCTGATCTGTCCTTCGACGCACACATAACTAATATTACTAGAACAGCCTTCCTGCATCTCCGCAATATTGCTAAATTGAGAAATGCATTCTCTCTACAGGATGCAGAGAAGTTAGTTCATGCATTTATTACTTCAAGGCTAGATTACTGTAATGCCCTGCTGGCTGGATGTCCCAGCAAAAGCCTTAACAAGCTTCAGCTGGTCCAGAACGCTGCAGCCAGAGTTCTTACTAGAACCAGAAAGTTTGACCATATCAGCCCAGTTTTATCAACCCTACACTGGTTGCCATTTAAATTTCACATTGATTATAAAATTCGCTTACTGACCTATAAAGCTCTAAATGGACTCGCCCCTCAGTACCTGAGTGAACTTCTCTCTCACTATGAATCATCACAAGGTGCTGCTCACTATTAGTACCTAGAATTAATGAAGCTACATCAGGGGGGAGAGCTTCTCATACAAAGCCCCCCGGCTTTGGAATAATCTTCCTGTTAATGTTCGGGACTCAGACACGGCCTCAGTGTTTAAGTCTAGGCTAAAAACGTACTTGTATAGTCAAGCCTTTGGTAATTAGTTTTCCCTGTCAGTTCTATACCTGCCAGAGTCTCCGCTGCTCTGCTAACACTAATCTGTGACCAGTCACCCATTACAGAACTGACACCCATTACAGAACTGACACCCATTACAGAACTGACTCTCTGTGTGTTTTTCCTTTCTTTCCTTTGCGGAGTTGAACAGCTGCCCATCCTGTGCATCTGATGCTGCCTCTTCTGCCTTGATCGGGTGCCACTGCTGCCGGCCCTCTGGACCAGCTTGACCATCATTGAGCTTCATGCTGTACAACACCGTGCAAACCTCACCCTCACAACCTGACCCCACTGATGCCGCTGCTGCTGCATAATTTAAACTAATCAAATTAATCAATGCTCCACCTGTTTTCCCTGTTTTTTTACTAACAATGTTTACTATCCGGTGTCGACCAGAGGAGGATGGGTTCCCCTTCTGAGTCTTGGTTCCTCTCAAGGTTTCTTCCTGTTTCTCTTAGGGAGTTTTTCCTTGCCACTGTTGCCACTGGCGACGCTCATGGGGGCTTGGACCCGGATTTCTTTTTGTAATGATTTTTATTTTTATTTTTTTTTTGTTTTGTAAAGCTGCTTTGTGACACCCGTTGTAAACAGCGCTATATAAATAAACTTTGCTTGCGTGCTGTGTGTGTGTATATTTGTACGTGTGAGTGAGTGTGAGTGTATGTATCTGTGTGTGTATCTGTGTGTGTGTCTGTGTGTGTGTGTGTGTGTATATGTATATCTGTGTGTGTGTATCTGGATGTGTGAGTGTGTGTGTGTGAGTGTGTGTGTGTGTGTGTGTGTGTGTGTGTGTGTGTATCTGGATATGTGAGTGTGTGTGTGTGAGTGTGTGTGTGTGTGTGTGTGTGTGTGAGTGTGTGTGTGTGTGTGTGTGTGTGTTCATACACTGTAGAAAATCTCTGGTTTCTGGCTCTGAGGATAAGATGGTCTGAACTGCTGCAGCTGTGGAGACACACAAACACACTGATTTAACAGAATGAAGGAGATTAAAATGATGTTTAAAGTGAGATAAAATGTGTCATTTGCAGCAGAAGCTCCTCTTACCATGTGGAGAGACTTTACTGAACTCCTCCTTGCAGAATTCCTCTAGTCTCTCTTTCAGATCAGAGAGAGATTTCCTCACTCCATCAAATGAGGGATGTTGATGGACAGTGATGCTGGAGGAGTCCTCACATCCAGAAGAGACACTCAGAGACTGGAAACTCTACAGAGACACAACAGAATGATGAAGGTCTATAAGAGTAAAAGATGATCTTATTATCTGTGATAATCGACAGAACAATCTGGATGCAGCAGTTTGAAAAATACTGGCTTATTCCTTTAATGAAGAACCATTTTAGAGCCTCTCTGAGGAGCAGGTTCCTCTGTAGGTGAGTGATGGTTACCTGGAGGAAGTGGATGTGATCCTCTGTGACTGAAAGCTGCTCCAGCTCAGTGTTTCTCCTCTTTAGATCATCAATCTCCTGCTGCAGGTTCTCCAGGAGTTCTCCAGTTCGTCTCAGCTGGTTCTTCTCCTGAGTTCTGATCAGCTCTGTTACCTCAGAGCGCTTTTTCTCAATGGAGCGGATCAGCTCAGTAAAGATCCTCTCACTGTCCTCCACTGCTGCCTGTGCAGAGCGCTGTTAGGACACAGACACACAAGATGGAGCTCCATTTAAACACCAGCTATCATTCACTCTCTCACTGGGACTCTAGATGACTGACTGTCCACATTGTGGCTGTGTAGGATCCCAAAGTGTCCAACACTGGACTCCTCACTGTCTGACCTGAGGAGAGTCTGAGTGAGCTGTGAAACAGCTGCTCCAGCAGATCTCTGCCCACTACTCACCTTAAGAGTGACCACAGCCTGTTTCAGCTCCCGCAGCTTCGTCTCTTTCTGCTGGAGTCTCTGCTGGAATTTCCTCTGAATCTTCTTCAGCTGAGACTAGAGGCAAAAATATCAACCAAACTAAAATTGCAGCATTTGAATAGTAATAGTAGCAAAAGACTTAAGGGTTCATATTGTTCTGTACAGTTCTGAGACTGGGTGCTCTTTATTAGTCTGTAGAGAGGCTAAAAGACGGGTGTCGGCTGGTGAAATGTTTATGGACTACAACTAGTTTTGCAGCATCGCTGAA